CTATCTATCTATCTATCTATCTATCTATCTATCTATCTATCTATCTATCTATCTATCTATCTATCTATCTATCTATCTATTTATTTTTTTATTTGCCCTACCTCAGGTGTTGCGCTGCTTTTTGCTGACCCTGGTGAAGTGACGCTCCTCCGTTACGACGCGTCGTACCTCCGGTTTACCGACACAACGCTACCGATAAGGTCGTTGTTGTCGCCGCCGCCATGTTCCCGGTGAGTCCCCAGAGTCGCCGCGCCGCTCTCCGTTCTTCTGTCCGGGTCCTGTCTCGGTGTCCGGGAACATTTGGAGCAGCCGGACCGTCTCTCTCCCCCTTGTTGTCAGCGGTCTGCTGCAGGACCCCCCGCGTCAAGCAAGAGGCAGGAGCTACACTGCGCTTCCGGTTCACATTTCAAGATACAGTGCCACCGCATAGACGCTCATAGCGGCACGAACTCAAAATAAAGTGTAATTACACGCCAAATACATACATGCATACACACATACATACATACATACATACATACATACATACATACATACATACATACATACATACATACATACATACATACATACATACATACATACATACAAACAAACAAACAAACAAACAAACAAAATGATACAGTAGCCTGTAGTGATAATAACAATACTTTTGTATATATTTAAGTAGAACCCAAGGTCATAATACTGTAAATATTTCATTTTTGTGGTAGAGTAGTTGGAGGGAAGTATTAGCAGAGTGGTAAAGTAAGTACAAATACTTTGTTACTGTACTTAAGTGTACATTTTGGTTATCTGTACTTTACTTGAGTAATTCTTCAGCCTATTTTTTACTTCTACTCCTTACATTCCTTACATTAAAAAGGGCAAGAAGAATAAAGTCGTTACATTTAGTTAATTTTTACTTGTTTTCATTTGGCTCGTTATTAAAACACATACTATAAATATAAAATGTGCCTCCTGGTTAGAGTGAATCTAATTCTGGTTGAATGAGACAAATAAATATAGATAAACAATTTAGTTTGAACACAATCCATCACAGCTGCACGAAAAATCATGCATGTGGTATATACATATAAATATATACAGT